TGGCTTCCAGTTATATTTAGGATTGATTTTAAAGCACTTTTACTCGTTTATAAATAACTCTATGGCCTAGGACCTAAATATATAGCAGATATGCTCACTGAATATAAACCTAACAGACCACTCAGATCATTAGGATCGAGTCAGTTAGAAATACCAAGGGTTCACACAAAACAAGGGGAATGTGCTTTTAGTTATTATGCCACCCGCAGTTGGAATCAGCTTCCAGAAGAGATCAGATGTGCTAAAACATTAGTCACATTTAAATGCAGACTCAAAACTCATCTGTTTAGCTGTGCATTTATTGAATGAGCACTGTGCGATGTCCGAACTGATTGCACTATATTATATGTATAATCGTTTTCTTAAATTCATTTTAAATAATTTTCAAAGTTTTTAATTCATTGTTTTTATTTTATTTTATGTAAAGCACTTTGAATTACCATTGTGTATGAAATGTGCTATACAAATAAACTTGCCTTGCCTTGCCTTGATATAGCACACGATATAGGCACGTGCTATGAGTGACGCAGACAGCACACACAAACATGCACACCTGCTGAAATAAGTGCTGTGCCTGCCTGTGATGAGGAGATTTTAAATAAAGAATGAATATTAATCGATTAAATAGATTTAAAATAAACATTTGCGATGTTAGGTGTGCGTCAGGGAGTGTCATCAGTGGAGTGATAATGATGGACATGACGTTGTAGTTTAATGTTTTGTTAGTCTAGCCCACGAGACGCGCCGCTGCTGCGTTATTCATTCAAAATATTAGAGAAATGTAGTAGCTCAATGCGGAGAAGATCTTGATTAGGTTAAAACCGAAACCAAGCCATTCACACGGAACGCATATTCAGTGCATTTTTTAGAAGGACAAATATAACTGCTGCACTCGCGTCTCACACAAGAGATGTAGCCATGCAAATTTAAAACAGTTTAAACTTTTAGAAAACACGTCACGAATTTGTGGAGGTTTATTCCTTTTCACTGTGTCTCATAGGTTTTTAAATGCAATCTGTGTGAATGGCGCTTCAGCTCTTTGGATTAAGCAATGCATAAATACATGATGCTGTTTTGTCCATAAATGTTTATGCAATTTACGAAATTATATTTGATTTTATGAGTTAATTTAGACGTAATTCACGTTTTTTTATAGAGTTACTTCCTTGTATTGACAATTTAAATGTGCTGCATTATTTTGCTCATTGCGCCCTTCTGTGGCCTCGGGAGACAAGACAAAAGTTTTCTTAAAACCTATTTAATCTGCATATAAAACATTAGAAATTAGATATTTGTTTAATTTTTATTTTGTGTTTGATTGTTAAAACAAAAAATACTTTTTGTTTGTCTCAATAAATTGGGTTAATTTAAAAACACAGTGGTTAAATTAAAAAAAAAAATTCTATAGCTCTTTGTTTTTAAAAAGGTTATAAAAAATGTCAATAATTCTCGATACCGAGCGATATGAAACATTATATCGTTGATATTTTTTTTTGCTATATTTTTGCCCTAGTACATACATTGATCAGCCACAACATTAAAACCACTGACAGGTAAAGTGAAAGACATTGATTATATCATTACAGTGGCACCTGGAAGGGCAATCGGTGAGCCAGTATCAGGGTCATGGAGCCCTGAGGCTCACTGACCCACACAGAAGAGCTACTGTAGCTCAAATTGATAAAAAACGTAATACTGGCCATGATAGAAAGGTGTCGGAACACACAGTGCATAAGAGTTTGTTGCATATGGGGCTGCATAGCCAAAAACCAGCTATGATGACCCCTGTCCACCACCGAAAGCACCTACAAATGGACACATGAGTGTTAGAACTGGACCATGGAGCAATGGAAGAAGGTTGCCTGGTTGAATCAGATCAGGTGGATGGTGCACACACTGTACATCATTTTCCTGGGTAAGACATGGCAGCAGGATGCGCTATGAGAAGAAGGCAGGTCAGTTATGTTATGTTTTGGCCAATGTTCTGCTGGGAAATGTTGGATCCTGGCATTCATGTGGATGTTACTTTGGCACGTACCACCTACCTAAAGATTGTTACAGACCATGTACACCACTTCATGGCAATGGTGTTTACTGATGGCAGTGACCTCTTTCAGCAAGATAATGCACACTGCAAAAAAAATTGTTTGAGAACATGGTTTGAGGAACATGACTGAGAGTTCAAGGTTCCCCAGATCTCGATCTGATGGAGTTTCTATGGGATGTGCTGGACCAAAATCCAATCCATGGAGGCCCACCTTGCAGGACTTAAAGGATCTGCTGCTAAAGTCTCAGTGCCAGATACTACAGGACAAGTTCAGAGGTCTTGTGAAGTCCATGCCTCAATGCATCAGAGCTGTTTTGGCAGCACAAGCGGGACTTACATGACATTAACAAGGTTCTTTTAATGTTGTGGCTGATCAGTGTACAACTCGTGCTCTATATATTCTAAGTCTTCTGAAGCATTGCAGATTTAAGTACCTTCGAAATGGCCATTACCACGGATATTGTGATTGACGTCCACAGCCCATTAGTCGATGGCTGTAATAGTATCAGTGGGACATCCTTTGGAGCATTTGACTATTTCCACCTCTCAGTAAAGCACTGCCATTAAAAACCCAGTCTTGGCAGCCTGATTCAATAGATGAGGATGAGCCATATCATATTACCCAAAGCCTCTCACAAGATGCCAATACTAATCAGATTGAACCACAATTCAAATGTAATGGAATAAAATATGAACCTCCTGGTCTGGTACTGAACCACTATATTGATAGTATCCCATTACTCTGTAAAACCATCAATTGGTCATATGAATTACTGCCCTCTACAGGATATGGATGAATGTTCAGTACTGGATAAATCAGGGCTAAAAATAAAATGTCCACCATTGTGGCAACTGATTGAGAAAAGATGTTGTTCATACCATATACCACAATTTGACAGCTTATATAAATGTGAAGCTTACAAGCACGCATTCAATAATTAAGCAAGGTCAAACTACATGCTATTTTTGGTATAGTATTTATTATTTTAAGTTAAATACTACCAATTGCAATTTATGGACTTGGACTCGTGATTTGCTCATCCTGAAAGCCAGAGGAAACTGATTTTTGGTTCCTTGCCACTTTTACCTTTGGCTTGCTCATAAGGGGCATAATGACATATTTAAAGCTTGAAAATGAAACTACTGTAGAGGCAGCAGCACTTAACTCACAAGGAGACCCCAACAATCAGACTGTAGGTCAAACTACATGCTATTTTTGGTATAGTATTTATTATTTTAAGTTAAATACTACCAATTGCAATGTATGGACTTGGACTCGTGATTTGCTCATCCTGAAAGCCAGAGGAAACTGATTGTTGGTTCCTTGCCACTTTTACCTTTGGCTTGCTCATAAGGGGCATAATGACATATTTAAAGCTTGAAAATGAAACTACTGTAGAGGCAGCAGCACTTAACTTACTTCCACTGTATTAGTCTCTATAGAGCTGCTTTGTTACACTACTTGAAACTACTGATTCCTGAAACAGAATTTTGAGATGCTCACGGCTGAATTTTCTGTAAAGTGACTTTAAAGCAATCTATATTGTAAATAAAATTGACTTGACACTTAAACATCCATTTTGTCTCTTAGTTAAGTCAGAAACGAATGCATGTACATTACATACACGCCCAGATGTATGTATGCTCTTTTGGTCAGTGAGGTATTACATCATTCAGTAAGTGGTGAAAATGTTCTGCAATACCCCATCTGCCTGTAGAGGGAGCCTGACACCACACAACACATCTTCAAATACTGCACTTCTATATCTATATGTTAGTGCAAGCATATTTGTAAGACATATCAGTGATTTTGTGTGTTTAGTGGCTGTATGTTTTCTACAGTGCACTTTTCTGTGCTGGTGTGGCTTTAATTTTTCTGGTACCAGACAGCTGTACATGTAGGCCAGCACATAATCTACCATCATTTGATTCATTTGGTTTCTGCAGAGTTTGAACAACAAACAAAGACATTGGCATTTGTCTCCTGCCCATTGCTTATTAAATCATTAGGTTAGTCAGCTCTGTTTAAACATTCCACAGAGCTCTACATATTTTCCTTAAGCGCTGAAAATTATGAAAACGTGCAGAATCTTATTGGCCTACAGTATCTGATAATTCAATATGTGGCATGTGGCAGTTGTCCCAGATATGATGCACTTTTGCAAAGGCTTTGTTATGCAGTTACTGTGTATTGCAGAGTAGGATTCTTTTTTTCCTAGTAAAAAAGTAGTGGGTGAGTTAGCAGGTCAGATACAGAATGGCATGCATGATTAGCATTTAATATTACTTACTATTCAGCGCAGTGTGTCATAATGTGGATAGTCAGTCAGTTCTATGCATTATATAAAAGGTTATATTTGTTGCTACAATGTTTCAGACAGCACACATACTTTCCCTCAGTGTATCCGTGCAGGCATGCGACTGTCAGCATTATCTAACCCCGTCAAATATGCGCGCACACACACTCTCACACGTAGGCATGCTCATAACTTATATTATCTTATTCTTTAGTCAGATCAGTGTATGACAGATTGCCACAGAAGTTTGACTAGAGTACAGTAGATTAACATGTGCTGTCTTGTCATGCGATATAAGTCTGAAAAGTAGTGTGAGTAAGACATTACCTGTTTCGTTTGGGAAATGCAAGAGAAAAAGAGAGGGCCTGACCAAGGCCTGATTTAAATATTCCTTTCTAATGTATGACAACATGAAAAATCAGAAGTTTCCTTCTTATTTTGTGGGTTTTTGATGCTTTAACAGATTAAACTCTTTAGTAACGCTTGCTCTGTGTCTCATGCCATCAGGGAAACAATGGAACAGACTGGAGCCGATGGACACCATCTTTGTCAAGCAGGTGAAAGAGGGTGGTCCCGCGCATGGAGCTGGACTCTGCACAGGTACAGACAGACACATGAATCTGGAGATATGTTTTTAATGTGTAGGCTTGTCATCAGTTATAAATAATTAGGGTATTAAGACACTAAAATTGTAGCAGACACTCAGTAAACAGAAAATGCTTGTCCTTCCTCTATAACATTCTGATTGGTTCGTTGTAGGGCTGTCATGGTATCAGATTTTCAGTAGATGATATCATAACAAAAATAATTCACTGATATTATCACAAAATCTATAGACATTTTTGGGAAGAAAAAAACTATATCGTTCAAATTCATCCTTAACTTTGTTTATTTTCGGTTTTCTTTTTTTGGCCAATGAATCACACGCAAAACATGACTTTAAGGAAGCTGAGAGATGGTTTGTAACCAAAAATGTTACAAAAGCATATACAGTATAAACTTCCTGCAGACCAGGTATACCCCATGTTTTTTTGTTTTTTTTTACGGAATCCAAAAACTCACACACTGACAGGATCGTTTTTTTTTTTCGAGTGTTGAAAGTGAGTGTCTCCTTTTCATCCATCATCTTATCGAACATGATTTTGTGTGGCAGTAGTAGCTGTACACTAGGTGACAGCCAACATTAAGGTGCAATATTGGAGTGTCAACCAGATGGCGCTGCATTATTTACATTATGAATGTTTGTGTATTAAAGGGATAGTTCAGCCAAAAAATTAAAATTCTGTTGTTAATTACTCACCGTCGTGTCGTTCCAAACACGTATGACCTTTGTTCATCTTAAGAACACAAATTAAGAAATTGTTGATGAAATCCGAAAGCTTTCTGACCCTCCATAGATAGCAACGCAACTACCATGTTCAAGGCCCAGAAAGGTAGTAAGGACATATTTAAGTAGTCCATGTGACACATTTTACACAAAGAAAACAAAAATAATGACTTAAGGTGCAGCGCATCTGGGTTCTACGTCAGAACGCAGGTTCCTGCGTCAGCAGCACCACAAGCATGCATCGTGGTACTCTCATGAATGGCAGCGGAGATTGACACAGAACAGAAGAAATTGTTGAGTAAATGCACACAAAATGTATTCTCGTAGCTTCATAACACTGATGTAACATGGACTATTTTAACGATGTCCTAATTACCTTTCTGGGCCTTGAACATGGTAGTTGCGTTGCTGTCTATGCAGGGCCAGAAAGCTCCAAGATGTCATCAAAAATATCTTAATTTGTGATCTGAAGATAAACGTTCGAGTGTTGAAAGTGAGTGTCTCCTTTTCATCCATCATCTTATCGAACATGATTTTGTGTGGCAGTAGTAGCTGTACACTAGGTGACAGCCAACATTAAGGTGCAATATTGGAGTGTCAACCAGATGGCGCTGCATTATTTACATTATGAATGTTTGTGTATTAAAGGGATAGTTCAGCCAAAAAATTAAAATTCTGTTGTTAATTACTCACCGTCGTGTCGTTCCAAACACGTATGACCTTTGTTCATCTTAAGAACACAAATTAAGAAATTGTTGATGAAATCCGAAAGCTTTCTGACCCTCCATAGATAGCAACGCAACTACCATGTTCAAGGCCCAGAAAGGTAGTAAGGACATATTTAAGTAGTCCATGTGACACATTTTACACAAAGAAAACAAAATAATGACTTAAGGTGCAGCGCATCTGGGTTCTACGTCAGAACGCAGGTTCCTGCGTCAGCAGCACCACAAGCATGCATCGTGGTACTCTCATGAATGGCAGCGGAGATTGACACAGAACAGAAGAAATTGTTGAGTAAATGCACACAAAATGTATTCTCGTAGCTTCATAACACTGATGTAACATGGACTATTTTAACGATGTCCTAATTACCTTTCTGGGCCTTGAACATGGTAGTTGCGTTGCTGTCTATGCAGGGCCAGAAAGCTCCAAGATGTCATCAAAAATATCTTAATTTGTGATCTGAAGATAAACGAAGGTCTTACGGGTTTGGAATGACATGAGGGTGAATAATTAAGGACAGAATTTTCATTTTTGGGTGAACTGTCCCTTTAAGAGGATATCAATATATATTTATTTTAATTAACACAGTAACCGTCAATACCGGTATATTGCAGCACCCGTAGTCGATAGTTTTAAAACTGACATTGAGCTCCAGGTGAGTTTTTTTTTTAAAGTTTTAACTATTCTGCAGTCTTAAAAACACGCAAAGCATGCAAAGACGTCCATCTGATGCATATGTACATACACCAGCATACAAATAGCACAAATAGACAGTGAAAACATCCGGCTGGTTGGCCCCCTTAAGACATAAATGTGGGCTCATTGAGGCATGAAAGCATCACTACTAAACGGTTGGAGGTAAACCAGGCAAGAGGTCATACCACCAGCCAACATCCAAAATTAACTGGCAGAACTTCATCATAAGCAGCTGAAGTGTTACGTAAGTGTGATCAGTCGGAACCCAAAGAAACATTGAGGAGTTATTACTACTTCCTTGATACCATCAGACAGACTTTTGTGAGGGTCCGTAACATATGGTGCCACATTTATTCACAATCTCTTGCTGCTGGCCCCCTCTGACTGTCTTCATGTGAATCTCATCTTCAGCTCAAATCAGTCAACATGTCTGAACATACTTCCTCCAGGGCCGAGTTCCTGTCCAAATCTTTAATTATTCTTACCACAGAATCATGTGGATCATCAGTTTCTCGGAGGATCATTAAGGTCTTTGCACACCGAGTCCGAAATTTTCACCCAAAATTTTTGCATGTTAAAAAAATAAATACAACCCCACGTTGTGTCAATCACATTTACACACTGCCTCTGAAACTTTTGTCTGTCATTAAAAAATTCGGTTACACTTTACTTGAAGGGGTGTGCATAAGACTGACATGACACCGGATCGGATTCGATTTTCTGCGTTTTTCGCATCCGTAGCAAGCATTTTCAGAGGTGTTTTGACAATTCAGAGCCACCGTAGAAGCGAAAGCCAAAATTGTATGCTGGTTTCAATGCCTGGCGTATACCTTTCCGATGCCACAGTGTGTGTGTGTGTGTGTGTGTCCATACCTTAGACATACTGCCAGTCTCTGTTCAGAAACAATTGGTTCAAGGAAACTGGTGGTCTTCTTTTAAATATGTGGCTCTAGTATTGCTATCAAAGCATCAAAATCCTGTAGTAAACTTTGAATTGCTCGAGATAATCCTGCAGCTCCTTGATGAGGTGGAACTCCTCTCTACGCAATCTCAGCATTAGATGGACCCAATATTTCCTCTTTCTTTTTATCTTTTTAAGGAGAGAGGACAACAAAATCATCCTCACTGCTAGAAGTCTCCATTTTGTATTGTTTTGCACATTTTTTCGCAACCGTGTCCAAGGTTTCTGTGCATGACAAATTTTTAGGATGACGAATACGAAAAAACACAAATTAAAATTTCAGACTTAAGGTCTCTGAACACTGAGTCCAAATTTTTCGTCCGAAATTTTCGCACGTTGAAAAATAAATACTACCTCACGTTGTGTCAATCACGTTTACACACTGCCTCCGAAACTTTCGGCAGTCATAAAAAAAATCGGACCAGGTTCGATTTTCTGCGTTTTCGCATCCCATGGCAAGCATTTTGATAGGAAAGGAATATGAGGAAAAACGCATATGAAAATTTCGGACTGTGCAAGGACCTTTAGTTTCTAAAGACCTTTAAAGAGCTTCCAAGCCTGTGTATACTGTAGATAAAGCATTTTATAAAACATGTATTTACATAACTGAACTAAAGCATCTGATTCTCTTCCTGTTTCTCTTTCCTACAGGGGATCGTATTGTAAAAGTCAATGGAGAAAGCATCATCGGGAAAACGTATTCTCAAGTAATTGCCCTTATTCAGAACAGGTAATGTTGCAACCTGTGCTGCTTGTTTCAGCCCCTGAGGGGTGGTGTAGCTTCATGGTTAAAGATCTGGTCTGTTAAATAGTCATAGTTTTTATTTTAACCTAAATTTGACCTAAACCAGGAATACTTGCTGATCTGTATCCATATGCTCCTTTTTCCCTCATTTTGTGGGTTGATTATCTCTTCCTGCTAAGTCTTGATCTAGATAAATCTCTTAATCCTTGAGGAAGTTTAATGAATGTGCTGTTTATTGCGTAATTTTAGTTGGAATTCACAGCTAGATGTCCTTCCTTGTTCTTGAATTTACTAAAAGAAAGCACTGTATTTGTGACTGTAGTCATGACATACATTTTCATACATTTTACCTTTCCAAACTTTTCTTTGCAGTGACACGTCTCTGGAGCTCTGTGTGATGCCAAAAGATGAAGACATTTTACAGCTGGTAGGTTTTATTTCTCATGGGTTTACTTGTCACACAAAACTAATGGTTATTTCTTGTGCAAAAAGATGGATTTCTCTTTCAAATTGGCTTGGTCAGTTAAAATGAATTCTTGTTTGAGAAAATTCAAACAAGAATTTTGGGCAGTAATGTTCAGGTGTTCAGTGGTATGTGTGTGTGTGTCATGGTCAAAATATTTGAAGTTTCTGAATGTAAAATGGAGAAACTGCATTGAAAATGAAATTGCTCAAGCAAAAGGAATTGTGGGAAGGAGAGCAGACCTGTGGAAACAAACGGCACCAGTTTGTGTGTCCCAGCCAGAGTTCAGTGATCCAGCGGAGCAGAGAAGCGTGATGGCGCCTGTGTGTGCTTATTTTGAATTCAGCTATAATGAGGTTTTCCTCAGAACTAGGGTCGTAATGCCACCCCCATATCTGAGCACATTCCAAACAGAACTCCAAATCTCAGGCTGTTACATGCCAACCAAATAAACTCATACTCCACTGTGGAGCCCTCGGGCACTTTCTGACTTGACAGTAATAAGTCCAACCATTGCTGAATTTAAGACTTAGGAATGGCACTCATGCTTGTTATTTCAGCTAATAGGAAGTAGTTCTGGTGGTTCTCTATGAAAATAAGCTCTATATGACACCTCTGATATGACATCAATCTTGGATTCTTGCAGTCATATTACGTCACACAAACATTTAAAAACTTTTATTAGATTAAACAATTTTTGTTTTATTACTGTTACTTTGATGTATTACTTCTATTACCTTTAGGTATTATTGTGTTACTTTTATTTATATGATCTGTAATCAGCATGTTAAAGGTTTATTGGCCTTCATAAACTTCAGTTTTGACTGATTTTATTTCTTTCTTTAATTTTTTTTATAAAAAATGTTTTATCAATCAGCTTGGTTCAAACCCGGTCACCTTTTTTTAGGTATGCAATTTATGTTTTAACTTAGAAGTGTAGATTTTTGTGTATTTACTTATTTAAATGATGAAGAAATTACTAAATGTACAAATAAATAAGATATAAATAATAACCTAAAATGACTCCTATTTTATTGCTAGTGTTATAACATTTCATTAAACAATAAAAAAGTTCAAAACATTGGCGAAAAGCCAAGTTGTGACCATTTTTCAAACACTAACTTACAGTAGTCAAAGATGGCTTTTCTTTTTGCTCATGTCTTCCCTTAGGTAAACCGAATGTTGTCAGCAGCTCAGTGTCTATTGGGGAAATGCCTGGTATGCTCTTGTACCCGTGAATATTAATAACTGTTTGCATTCAGCCAAGGTGATTTGCTAAAATCAAAACACGGAGAGTTATGACTTATGTGTTAGACCCGCCCACTGCTGAAGCAACCAGCTAGAGAACTTCTGTTTTGTCTGAAGCCTTTGTTTTATATGACGGCTTCAATTATTTCCCTTATAGACCATCTGTGATTAAGCGAGAAAAAAAGAGAGAAAAAAACATCAGTATTTAGTCATTTCCAAAAGTCAGAAGGGCATGTTCCACCCAGTTGCTACATCACTGGAATTTTATTTTATTTTATTTTTATTGTAGTGCATTCCAGAATTGCCTTATCTGTGAAGCAAATATGCAGTGCTGGCATAGAATTTGGATAGAAAAACAAGGTATCTTGCAAAGCAGCATAATTATGCTGCTTATTCTTTTAGAACAGCCATTGCAGCTGTTGTGTGCTTGTGAACCCTTAGTTTTTTGGACCATATTTAGGAGGATTCATGACTTTAAACATTAAGTTTTACTGATTTGTGCACTCACAACATCAATATGAAAATCTTCAGGTAATTTGACACCATAAATCGGCAGATTGTCAGAGTTTATTTGCAGGATTATGACAACAAGTTCCTTTCACACATAACTTGTATGTAAAACATAAAACAGGGAATTACATTTAGGGCTAAAGCAGTAATGTAAAATTGCTTTATGACATTGCTGATGATAGACTAGCATTAGTAGTTATGTATAAAGACTGGATGTAGGTGGATTATGAGCAGATATAAGGATCATATTACCATGTGTGCTTACGTAAGACAACAAGTACAGCATGCAAAGCAGTCAGCCGATCAGAACCAAAGCAGCACCTTGCAAAACGAATGTTTTGACTGTGAAACACTGCAAAGTCTTGAAACAAACTAAAAGGAATGATGAAAAAATAACACCAAGGCAGGTATAGATTTAAAAGTATGCCAATATCACCATACTTGGCCACATGGGTCACCATACTTGGCCACATGTCACGTCACTTTCACTTTTCACTTTCACTTTCACTTATATTTATTTATTTTATTGATGTAGTGAAATAGAGACCCTCCCATCAAAATCCAATGTGGAAGTGGTCACAGAAAGCACATCTGAGACCCATATTACCACCCGGTATAAGTCTTAGCTGACCACTTGTAATTGGACCACCTGAGGTGGATCTTAATATCAGGTATTAATGGGTCGAAACAAACAACAGAGGAAAAGAACAAATGAAGCTGCCATCTGAAAAGACAGGAATTGTGCAGACAGTCACTGTGTGGATGGAAAGGAGCCACACTAGGCAAGATAGGCATGAGTGAGTGTGTGTGTGTGTGTGTGTGTGTGTGTGTTTGTGTTTGTGTTTGTGTGTGTAAAAGTTTTATATGCTTGAAAGCTCCAGAATCATTCCGGAAAAGAGCAGCAGTCACCCCCTCTGATCTTAAGTGTGTCCTCCTCTGCCTAGTTCATCTCTGGTGTTGGACTGGCAGCCCTCCAGCAGTCTCTCTCTCTTTTTCTGCTGCAGTGTGTATTTATAGCATGCTTTATCCTGCACTAGAATGACAGCAGCACTGTCTGGAGTAGGGGCTGATTGCTTCTGGTGTACCTGTTGAGCTCTTGTCGTCTTCCCTCACCATTGCTTGTTCTTTCTTTCTCTGTTTTCCCCGCTGTCAATCTAACCTTCCGGCTGCAGTTCTCCAGGGATATCACAGCTCTGGTAAGAAGGAGCTAAACCTGTCACCTGCTCCCTCTCTTCTGTTATGTAATTTTGCCCTGTTGTGGTTTATTTGCCTTTGCATAAAAGTGCATGTGTATTCCATCTCCCTTTATACCTGTACTGTCTATTAAAATACAGTCTTTACCTATATTAATAAGTACAGGCTTGTGTACAGTATTTGCTTATCCAATCACAAAACACATTTTGCCCCTAATTTATACCTTTGCTGTGAGGTTACGCCTTTATATGTATTTGTCGCCTACTGAGTCATCTTTATTTTCACAGAAGAGGTTGAGCAGACAGACAGAGAAAGAGAGAGAGGGCGGGACATGTCTACTAGTGTAACTCGACACCTTAGGTGTAGAGTCAAAAGTCCAGCTATCGCGTCTACACTCGCATTAACTTCTGAGCTCTGTGCTATGCACATTGGGACATATATTAACCTGGATTAAGAGAGTTCATTGTAAATGGGAGTGATTTCCTGAGCAGAATGTAGTAGTCAGACCTTAAGGATATTACTTGGCTGTTGACTTCGTAAGATGATAACAGAGCAGCCACTATCGCCTGTGAAAGTCTACCCTCCTCTAGCTTTTTCCTCTTGTCTGCGCACTGCTCTCTCTCCTCAGCTAAAGGTAGGTAAGCCTCTGATACCTAATCTCTCCATGAGGTTAAAGGCATTTGAGTCTGGCTACTTGACCTTTTCTCCTGTCATTTTTCCTGGGATGCATTTGAACTTGAAATGGGGGTCAACCTGTCCCCTGCATTTTATTATTGAAGTAGTAAAGAAGTAACATTTCTGATGTTTGAAAACAGCATTAACCATGTTGACAGTTAATAAATTTGGCACTCTAGTTTTTGTTTAGTGCAATTAGTGTCATTCATTCATTTAATAGAACCTCCCTTCTTTTCAGGCCTATTCTCAAGATGCATACCTCAAAGGAAACGAGGCATATAGTGGAAATGCCCAGAACATCCCTGAGCCACCCCCAATATGTTACCCACGGATAGAGCCCAATGCCTTGGCCATGGCACAGGTGTCAGAGTCGTCACGCTCTGCTGAGACTTCATGTGGAACCAGACAAGGAGTAAATCGATGTTATAAGCCGGACATAGGTTGCCGCATTGATATCCCTGTATCTCCCCTTACCACATCCCAAACTCCGCTGATCCCCAACACCCAAACTGTTGTGCGTGTATTTAACGAGAATGTTAGGACAATGGTAGCATCACTCGAATCCACAGACCGAATTACACATGTGGCCTGGGCTGGTCCCAGCCACAGGAAGGAGGAAAACCAGTATGCGCATTCAACAGACTCAAGCTTTAACAGATCTCCAACTGGGGCAGCACAATCACAACACAAACCCAACAGAACTGTGGAGTCCACTGGTTTTGCTGACACTACCCCCAGAACTCCACAGACTTGCATAGACACAAAGCCTATATCTTCCCACAGACATACCCTAACCACAACAGCAGAAACCTTCCCATCAGCCACCTCTCCCACCCCTTACACACCCTCCCCTCCACCTGCCACCCCCTCCCCCTGCTCTCCCCACCAGAACATTGACTGGAGGAACTACACCACCTACAAGGAATACATTGACAACAAACGGATTTACATGTACGGCTCCCGGACTATTCAGGAGCGCCTGGACAGTTTGCGAGCTGCATCCCCATCCAGTACAGGTGAATACAGCAAGCAGAAGAGTGCGTCAACAACAGCTACACCCTCACGGGGCTTTTCTGGATCACAGCTGAGACAGAGGAGCACCTCACATGATCGGAGTTATCAAGTATCCAGTGTGCTGCCACTGCGTAGCGCCTCTCAGGAGAGGCTTGGTGGTGCTGATCGGGCTTCTCTAACAGGGAATTGGCCTCGTAGTGCTTCCCAAGATGCCCTCCCATCAGCCCCCATAGGTATCCTGAAACCCAGAGCATATTCTTGTGGCTACCTAAGCAGACAGAATGAGAATGCAACATCCACGTTGGACAGGCAAGCATGCTGCAGAACTGAGACAGATGAGTGGCTGCTCGTGCACAGAGGGGATGAGGCAAGAGCAAGCAGGCAGTCTTCTTCCTTACGCATGGCGCCTCACAGAACACAGGGTGTATTTAACACAGACAGACGAGGGGGTAGTTACCCAGGGTTGCCCATCACCCCTCACTTTAGTAGAGGTACAGATTCTTTGCTCACTTCCAGAGCTGAAAGCCTGGGTAATACCTCTGCACCTTCCATAAACAGACCCACACTGTTACCTGCGAAAAATTATGTCTCAGACTCTTCCTCTGCTGCTGCTTCTTATATAGCTTCTGCCCTGGCCTCAATACAAGGCCACATCAGTGGTAGCTCCAGCACAGGCCCTGTCAGAGACCAAAGAACACCTCTCACTGCCAACCACATGCCCCACAATGCAAAGCAGTTGCAGCCCAGGGGGCGGGCTGACAGTCTTCAGGATCCCGTCAGAGAAGTAGCCCGTGGAGGTCGCTCTTCTTCTTGTTCTGCCGCCTCTAAACCCCATAGAACAAAGCAGGGTGGATCCAAGCCCAGATTCACCAGTAACGGAACAGTTCCTCAGCAACCTGGGTACACAGAACCACAACCCCAAGCCAATGAGAAGACGGTGGAAGGTATCGAGGGCCCAGATGCCACTGTAGTTGTGGTTCGGAGGGAGAAATCTGGATCTCAACCTATCCGCCATCCTTCCTACATTCTGGCAGTGAATGAGACGGAGAAAGGGGCTGAACCACCTGCAGAATCCAACTCATGCTGGCTGCCCAACAATACCCGCGGAGAAATGCACATGAGGAAGCTAGGAGACCAGTGTAAAACCTCCTTCTCAAGCAACCTCGATGACTCACTGGACTCCATTCCCTTCATTGGTGAGAGCTTTTTCTTTTTTTTCTGATGCTGTTGCTATAGCTACCACTACCTCAAAGGCAGATGAGTTTTGATAAGGTTAACAGGTTGTTAAAAAATGTAAAATAAACGGATAAAATGTACACAATGAATGCAGTGTAAGTAGTCTCTTTGGATACAATCATTCCAAATTCAGAAATGAACTTTTAGTATATACATAAATGTAGACTTTGACATATTCAAAGTGAATTTGCATATGCAAACTGCATCTCTTTTAGATTTTTACTTGTTTCGTTATTATCTAGCTTATGTGTTTACCAAAGCAGTTGTCAGAATGTGTTCTGACTGGATCTCTGTTTATTATATTAAGCAGCTGAGGGGACACAAGGAAATTAACTTTGTCTCAATAATCATGTTTTATATTGTTTAATGTTTTATATTATTCATAGTGAACTAAACATCTGAACTTTATCCTCCAACTTTTATCACAAGGAAGTCATTGTCAGCTTCACACTAGGACAGGACTTGATGAATTTGCTTTTTATTGCTCAGATAACTCATATAAAAGGCCACACTGTTTCTCCATCCTTAATGGCCCAGGCTTTGCATTGAGAGCTTTAGAGCAAATGGTGTACAGCAGTGGGATTTTATGATGATCATAGTAATAACAGCAGGATGAATAGCTCAACCCAATGTAAACACTGTTAAGCAGAGTGGATTGATGAGTAATCTGAGTTCTATTAATCTCTTTGTGTGAGAGAGGAGCTTTAAAAAAGCAGTTTTGTGTCTTTCAAGTCATCAGTCATCCTTACAATATTGGCCAAACTCTAGACAATACTGACATGCATAGAGATTTCCCAGGTATGTCCTACACATAGACATTTCAATGTGTCATTGGCCATCACAAATGGTTGCGCTTCTTAAGAAACAGTTCCATACTCCACCAGCTTTGATATGCATAAAACTAGACAGTGTTGCAGCTCAAGAGTATTCATGGAGCAGCACATGGGTTCATGAAGTCCCTGGGAGCATCTCCAAACTGTAAAGCACACCAGTACAGTGATAAGACATGACATCATAGTCTCTAAGGGCACAGATAATGTGACATACTGACACATTCCACCCAAGGCAGCGGGACTGAGGAAGCCACTTGCATTGCCATTCCCTGACACCAGTTCATCCATAGCTCAGCAACCTCAAACAAACAAGAGGACAGTAAAGTGATATGACAAAGTAATGGAACATGCCAATGGAAGCTAGCTCAAAGATTGCTCCTTTTTTGAAATGTGGAATGTGATTTGGTGGAGCATGTTGTGTTTTGAAGTTAATTTGGTATACTTTGGTTTGGGTTTGGTTTTATAGACCTAGACTGTTTTATTTGATAGGCTGTTACTTTTGTTATGATATGGTTTATATTTAACTTAGTAGACTGTGTTGGGTTTGGTTTGGTAGACTGTATAATAGACCATGTTTTATGATATGTTTTTGTTTTAGCTGCTCGCATAATATTCAAGGCATTGATGTCTGCCTACAAAACCACCACTGGCTCTGCACCCCTTTATCTAAATTCACTACTTCAGACTTATGTGCTCTAGAAGCTTGCGTTCTGCGAGTAGGGCTGGGTATCGAGTTCAATACTTTTTAGGCACTTTTTGTCTCGATACCATCGAGTATTGAGTCTCGTCGTTCGGTACCAAATTTCGATACCTAAGGGGTTAATCTCATCAGCGTCAGTGAGCCAATAAGCCTGCAACGCATGACGGATCGATGAGTGTTTGACATCCGCGAGAGCAATTCGAAAGCGCAAGGAGCAGTCTGCTCTCTTAGCTCTCGTGGTACTGTAATACACCGACCGGTCTGCACAGTCGGTCCGCGTTAAGTCGAACACCCCTAGGCTACTAGTTTACACCGGTTACACTCAAGAGATGTGGCGCACACGTGAGGCTGTAGTGTGAATGCGTCCCAGCCCCCATAGATGTAAGGCTACATTTACACTGGTGCGTTTATGTTTTAAAATGAAAACGATCCTCGTCATACTGGCGTTTCCACTGCATTTCAAGCCGGCTTTCCACTATCTCCGACAAGCAACAGACCGGTCATTCAGTCATTCATTTCCAATGGAGAGTAGCGCGGGAGCTGCGTGGAGTTCTGATCATATGCAGATGTCCGTTCACGTTACGCGACCGAAAGCGTGTGTTATGTGACCATTCACGCAAACTGTAGCATCATGCTACATAAGACAATAAATAAGATTTATATTCTGCTTTTACTCAAAACTCACTTTAAACCACTATCGAGTGTTTGTAATAACGTCCGATTACCGTCTAATGTGTTTTGGCCATGTAATGTTAATTAAATTAAATATATTAGCTCTTGAGTCAGAGCAGCGATCATGGAAGAGAGAACACAGACAGACAGCGCTGGAAGCTGCTAATGCTCATCAGTAAATCAGTGGAAAATAAATAGAAATCATGATTCTGTCTGAGCTATGCATTTTAAAACGAACACTAGCTAGTGTAAATGTAGTCTTCAGTTTACACATCTGTTAGGCTATTTTAGCTTTATTAAAACTATTTGCACTGATTTATTCCGTTGGTTACATTTTGTTCCTTTGTGCAGTGGCTCAGGAGATGAGTCTTTGAGTTTGTATAAACATCAACAGGCTGAAAAATAAAACCAAAGTAGTTTTTTTTAGATAATGTAATCTTGTTAAAATTTATTTCATAAAATTGGTATCGAAAAAAGTATCGTTCAGGAACCGGTATCGAAGTCAAGGTATCGGTATCAGTATCGATATCGAAAATTTTTGAACGATACCCAGCCCTATCTGCAAGTGAACGGCGCATTATTGTGTCATCCCCAAAGAGGCACAAAATCACTTTCACGGACTTTTACATTAATTGTTCCCTCCTGGTGGAATGACCTGCCCAACTCAATTCGAGCAGCTGAGGCCTTAGCCATCTTCAAGAAACTGCTAAAAACACATATCTTCCATCTTTATTTGATCATCTAACTCAAGCACTCTCTATTCTAATTCTATTTTATCTATTTGTTGACTTGACCCTCTAACACTTACACTCTCTATTTGTTTTCTAACTGCTTGTTTTCTTAAAAAAGGCCCCTAACACTAGCTTTCTATTCGTTTTCTATTCTATCTACTTGTATGTATATATATATATATATATATAATATATATATATATATATATATATACATTAGGTGTTAGGCTAACCAAGACTAAATGTAAATGTTTGTTTTTTTGTTATACAGAACCAGTCGACAGTGCTGGGTTTTACATATCTGGGCTTTCAAACTGATGAACTCAAGAAAGGATTAACATGCATGAAGTTTAAAGTCAAGTTAAATAATTATAAACATTATGCCAATGCACACAGCATTCACAGCCTTGTGGTTTTCCAAAATGGCAATTTTCTCAGTTGGTATTTTTTTGCATCATAAAGCTTATTAGTGTATTATACAGAGACTGCAGGGAGAGCAATCACTAGGACTTTCCTCTAAAACTATAGAGAAGGAAATTGCGTCGTTAAAAGTTGAATATTTTACCCAGTGATGCAATCTGTCTGCCCTACTGTTTGTGTGTTGTCTGTGCATGAAAAGGTGTGGGAGGCTTATCAGTTTAATGATTGCTTATTCTTCTTAGCTGTATGAGTAAACATGTTTCCTCCAGACTGTCTGATTCTGCTGTCTCTATTGGACTACATTAATCCATGCTATATACTACTAAGATAAATAATCTTATGAGTGACTCATGTCTTTTGGCATCAGACGAGCCGTCAAGCTCCAGTAACGACCATGACACAACACACATTCCTGCATCTGCAGTGATTTCCAGCACACCTATCATCACCACCATCCCACCCAGTCCAACTTCCCCATCTCCCGTAATACGCCGACAGCTGTCCCACGACCAGGGTGAGGAACATCTCTGCCAACACATACATTATCTCAGTAGCATCAAAAAATGTGCTTTTGTTTTTAACCATGAGTTCTCCCATATCTCCAACCTAGATTCCTTACGACTCACGATTTTGGAATCAGATTCTGGAACTAAAACGGAGCGTTCCAGGTCGTTCGATGAGGGCTTGGATAACTACAGAGAAGAGAGAGGGTACGCACAACCCACAAGGTTGAAGAGTCAGTCCTCTTCTATTGCTGTCTCTCGCACTATATGATCTCTCTGTTTACTGTGTCTGTACAGGCGGTCGTTTAAACACACCCATGGATTCAAGGGACTTAGAAAGGTGAGTGAGACTGCTGTAATAAAGATAACACATGACAAATTAATATTAGTTCACACCTTAGATAAATGTCTGTCTTGTTGGCATCTGATCTCCAGCTAACATTAAGTCTGAAAATCCAATGATAATTTTGTGCCAATTCTTTTTAAAAAATATGTTAATCATGCACCCTGATCTGTATGCAAATTCAGATTTTTTTCTTTCTCTTTTTTGGCCAATGAATAGCACATAAAATGATTATAGTGAGATGGAAAGAGACTTTGTAACCAAGCACTTGTATTATTTTCTAAACCTTTAGCATTGCTTATGATCAAATGTTGTAATCTGACTTCTCGTCCAATTTGATTACTGAATATTGAACTCAGTGGTCTTCCAGTTACCGAACTCAGTGGTCTTCCTGTTACCAAACTGATAAAGTATCTCAGGGGTTCCAATGGCTGTTGTCTAAAAGGATGAATCCTGGTTAATCCATGTTTGGTGTGTTTCAGGCTGTTGACAGATCATCTGAGGACTCTGGCTCTAGGAGAGACTCTACTTCAGATGTCTTCACTGATGCCACAAAAGAGGGTCCACTTCATTTCCGGCAGCTCAACTCAGATAAGGGAAAGGTACAACACCACTGAACACCATAATTCACAAGATCTCTCTTGTTCCTGGTCCTAATACTGAATGAGTGTTTTCAGAGCATGCTGGTCTGTGATGCTGTAGGAGTCCTTGTCCTATTAGAAACATGTTACAATGAGTCTTTGCACCTCGGAATGAATGAGAATGGCTGGCAGGCTTTCAAAAACATTTAATGTTGGCAAAGGTAGTGCCAGAAATCTTGTGTTGTAAGATCTTGTCATATTTTACACCATTCAGATGAAGTCAAACGCATGTACAATATGGGGTTACATGTAAACAATACGTCTGTAGATTATAGTGATTTTACCATGGTTAAGGGTGTAAAATCATAGAAGGTGCTATAAATTATAAATTTGATCAACTTGTGTATTCTGTATTTGCTATTTTAACTCATAATTCGGTTGTCTTTTCTACAGCGTGTTAGCAGTAGCATGCGGTCGTGGAAGCAGATCTACGCTGTGCTTCGTGGCCACTGCCTCTATCTGTACAAGGACAAGAGGGACGGACAAACCAATGCCAACTCCCAGATCGAAGAAGAGCCTCTGCCAATCAGCATCAAAGCCTGTCTGATTGACATCTCCTACAGCGACACAAAGCGGAAGAACGTACTTCGGCTGACAACGTCAGACTGTGAATACCTGTTCCAGGCAGAAGATCGTGAGGAAATGCTGTCCTGGATCCGGGTCATTCAAGAGAACAGCAACTTGGATGAAGAGGTGACTGATCAGTAATCATAACACACTTTTTTTTATCCAAGTACAATTTCAATTCTTGCGTACAAATAAAGAAGCTTTTCCTGACAATAAGGTGGTGACTTTAGAATTCATACTTCAGTGTCCCAATTATGTACATCTTCACTATCCCAATTATGTTGACTTGGATGCTTGGAAGTGTTTTTTTTTTCTTTCATATTTGTTGAGACTTTTGTTGGAGCCGAGCCCTAGTTGTTAGCACTCATGCTCCTACATGTTGAGCTGTGGTGCTAATGCAGGTTATACACTTTTGCATCCAGATCTCTTCCCATTAACCCCTATTCTCTCTCATCAAGTCACCTGCATGTCTTCTCTATACAAGCCTCTATTCTCGCACACCAGACGAGAGATGTCATACTTTGGCTGGCACAACTCATATCGCTCTCCAGAAACATCTCTACTTGTGTGCTAAAGTTCAAGGTGGCAGGCCTAAAGAGTGAATCAGGCCTAAACAGTGAATCTTACTATATAATTTCATTTAAAAAATAAATTAAGTTTTCTTTTTCTTCTTGTCCAGTAAAATAATATCTTTCTTATGTACAAAACACAAACTTATGTACCTTATAAACCATACACATGCTTTGCAAGAAACAATTGGATAAAATAAATAATAATTTGGGGGAGGGGGGGGGGAATTGATGAATTTGAAGTTTGGGGAATCTATATTATCAAGTGATGTTGCCAGTGTGTAGAAATTTCAAAGTTGGCAAAAAGCTAGAAACAAAATTAAAACTACATAATGTTATAAAATAATAGAAATGGACTCTTTGACAACCAGCTATTTTTCACTTAAGACAACCGAGTGTATCCTCATCTATGCTTTTTTAATATTGTACACTCTCACTTAGAACAAAACTGTGCGTTATCTAAATCCTTAATTACCTTTGAATGCTAAGGCATGTGTCGTAGCATCAGACTTTTCAGACTTTATAAACATTCAGTGCAACTTTTTTAGAAGCTGCTTTGAAACCGTGTGAATTGTGAAAAGTGCTATACAAATACATTTTACTTAACTTTGGCTCAGCCAGTACCATGGGTTTGTCTGACCAATGGCAGATGGGAAACGTGTTTTTAAAAATGTAATAATGGTCATTTTTGCAGTTTCATTTAGTAACGTGAGTGGTGCAGAAACCACACTTCATCTTTGAATCATGGGGTAAGTCTATCTAGTGCCTGATATAGATATGGTGGATGTTTTGGACTTCCTCATGAATCATGGAAAAAGACCCTATTTAAAGAACTTTCTTACAATAGCTGAACATAACCTAGGGCTTTTTTTGAAAATAAATAGTAACACTTCAGGAAAACCATTGCATCTTCTTTATAGCACTTCTTCTTACAGCACTGGGTTATCCACACGCCCTCTGGTGTGTTTGGGGATTCCACTCTTATATTTCATCCACTCGTCTGACACCAGCTTTTGTCTTCCTTTTCTCTATTTGCTTCTTTTTGTAGAATGCAACTGTAACTAGCACAGACCTCATCAACCGGAAAATAAAGGAGTACAACACTCTAATGAGGTAAGAAGGAAACAGGGAAGGGTTCCCATCAATTTTTGTACTTTTCGACATCTTAACCTGGTTTTTGCGTCTTGCAGTCCACCCAGCAGTAAGACAGAATCCTCACCCAGAGCGTCCCGTCAGTCCCTGAGCATCAGGCAGACGTTACTGGGCGGTAAAGGGGAGAATAAAGGCACAAGCCCTCACTCACCAAACAAGGACCACGACAGGAAAGCCATGCACAAAGGTAACAGAATCAGAGTATTTTGCTTAGCAACATGTTAACATCAAACTCTACTGTAATCAACTAAGTGAGTCAGAAGTCATTTCATTAGTGCTGTTGATTGCAAATCAGTCATTTATGAGTTTCTGTTTGGCTATGGTGCTGCTTTAGAAGATACGGTATATAGCTCACTACGTTTAAGGCCTAGTGTCTCTATGACAAATTCTTATTATTGTTGTCTGTGAATAGATGAAACCAGTCCACCAAAAGATAAGGGCACATGGAGGAAGGGCATCCCTGGACTGATGAGAAAGCCATTTGAGAAGAAATCGTCTCATGGAATCACATTTGGAGTAAGACTAGATGACTGCCCTCCAGCTCAGACCAACAGAGTAAGACCACAAAGAATGTCCTTTCTCTCACTGTTGCACTTGGCTTAGTTGATTTCAGTGACAATCTAAAGCTGTCACTTGTGAAAAAGAAGTACTCTGTAGTGTGTGTATATATAAAAGTACTTATTTCTGAAAAAATATAATTTAGAAGAATATACTTAAGTGTTAACTGAATAGGATTTTCAACACTGTAATAGCATGTTTATTGCAATTAAATGAATATACATTATAGATGAACTTTAAAATAAATAAATTGATCTTAACTGTGATTTTTTTTGCCATTTACTGTAAGTACAACTTCAGTACATCTTTATATGTAATCGGTTACACTTTATTTTAAGGTGTCCTTGTTTCATTTGTGTAATTATACATTTAAGTACTGAGTAATATTAATTAACTACATATACTTACTATAAGGTTAGGGTTAGGATTAGGGTTTGGTTTAGGGTTACTTGCATGTAATTATGCATAACTTATTGTTATTAAAATAGTAAGTATATGTAACATGTGTAACAAGGACACCTTCAAATAAAGTGTTACCATGTAATTTATAATTGTGTTGTCTTTGAGATATGGTTAAAGTGTACTGCTGAATATACTGAATATACTATAAAATATATTAATCTTAAATGCAATATTGAATAACACACTACAGTTAAAATTATAATCAGCTACTTTACTTGTGATTTAGTATGTTAGTCAACACATCACAATAAGTGTAATTATTAACAGATTATTTAAAAATTCATTTAAAATGCACTTTAAAGTAAAACTTTGAATTTTACATAATTCCACAGTGCACGTTTTAAAAGTGTAGTTAACTGAGTTAAGAAAGACGGTCATGAAAGTGTACTGTAATTAAGTGAACTCATTTCATTAATATATTATCTGCAAGTATATATATATATATATTTTTTAAAAATGGTTTACGTATGCTACAGGTGTACATTCAGTCCAATTAAGCACACTTTTTCACAAGGGAGTGAGCTCTACAGTAGTGATATTTTTAGCTGTGGGTGTTTAATGTTTAAAGAGTAATTGTTTAGTTTGTGGGATGAATGTAATTGTATTGGAACCTGCTATGTTTTTCATACTGCTGATTTTGGAGTCATATTTGTCTATGTAAGCAACACACATTCATATGGTGTGCAGTCTTAGAGGTTTAGATTGGCTTGCAGGCATGTGACTGTTCTTTGTGTGTTTTAGTTTGTTCCTCTGATAGTTGAAGTGTGCTGCAAGCTTGTGGAAGAACGAGGACTGGAATACACTGGCATTTACAGAGTGCCAGGAAATAATGCCGCCATCTCCATCATGCAGGAAGAGCTCAATAACAAGGGCATGGGCGACATCGATATTCAGGATGATGTGAGTTTATAGTTCAGGTGTCCGTAACATTTTCTTTGCTTCTTCCTTGAGGTCATTTTTTGAATGCATTATCTATTCCCCACAGAAATGGAAGGACTTGAATGTGATCAGCAGTTTACTCAAATCCTTCTTCCGAAAACTTCCTGAACCTCTCTTCACTAACGGTAAAAGTCCTTGTTGGAATTCCGTTGCTTGGGGCTCTTTATGACTCATATTTGATTTATATATCTTGCACTTGCTCAACATTAATTGTGAAGTTTGCCATCTAGTGGCTGTGAGTGATAAAGACATGCCATTTCAACATATATGACAGTTGAAGTAATTTTCCTTCATGATATATTCCCTCTGTAGAGAGATATGCAGATTGTATTGATGCCAACAGAATAGAGGATCCTGTAGAGAGACTCAAAGTGCTCAAAAGACTGGTATGAAGCTGTTTACCTAATTACCATTTGTTTATAGTGCTAATAATTTCACTGTTTGTTATGGCAACCCTAAATAAACTTAAAAATTTTCAGCTTCACGAGTTGCCTGATCACCATTACGAAACACTGAAGTTCCTATCGGCACATCTCAAAACTGTGGCTGAAAACTCGGAAAAGAACAAGGTAAAACATTTCTGGTAGTCCACAGGGATGTACACACAGAATGTGCGCTTTCGTTCAAAAACAACAAGATGACGTGCAACAGAATGGAACAGAACACATAATACAGGGCTCTCAAGACATGTTTTCAAGCTTTTCCCCCAGATTTTCAGTGGTCCAAATGTTTATTTTAAAGCTCTTTTTAAAGCAAAACATGAAATGAAGTTTGCAGCTAATTTTAGTTGTTATTTTCTGAGTGAAATATGATATTCAAAAGTGCTGGGACTTGATTTTATGCATCAAAAATGGATTGCATGGGCATATGTAGTTGGAGGGGAGGGCTTGGTGATGATAAACAAAAGGAAAGTAGTGTTTATAGGCAGAGCAGGTTACTGTGTAATAATGTGCACCGATGATTTTTACAGAAGAAGAACGTGAATGAAACATGTAAACAAAACAGCAATATTTGGTGCATTGGACATAATCCCTGACGTTCAAAAGAATATGTCCTTCGTGTACACTCACTTTGTGTTTTTTATATACAGTGGGGAAAAAAAGTATTTAGTCAGCCACCAATTGTGCAAGTTCTCCCACTTAAAAAGATGAGAGAGGCCTGTAATTTTCATCATAGGTATACCTCAACTATGAGAGATAAAATGAGAAAAAAAACATCACATTGAGAAAATCACATTGTAGGATTTTTAAAGAATTTATTTGCAAATTATGGTGGAAAAGAGAAATGTCTCATCTTTCTCATTTGTCATTGTGTCAGATGGAGCCACGGAATCTGGCTATTGTGTTTGGCCCAACACTGGTGAGAACATCTGAAGACAATATGACTCACATGGTGACACACATGCCAGACCAGTACAAGATTGTAGAAACGCTCATTCAGCATGTGAGTTCTTTAATTTTCTCATGTAAAATGAAAACACTGTCCCAGCTGTGTCAGGTATTTGAGCATTGGTGAAATAATTCTGAATGCAGTCTGGTGCTTTCTTGCAGTACGACTGGTTCTTCACTGAGGAGGGTGACAAGGAACCTACGGTGTGTATTAGTACAGCTGCTTTCTTCATTCTTTATTATTTTTTTTTTTTTATTATTTACTTTTTAGTTGTGTTTGCTAAGGTTGGCATCAGGGTTTGTAACACTAACCCTAATTAACCCTTAAACTACTTGAGTGTATATCTTATCCATAACTGTGGATATGCTGTTTTGAGTAAGTAACCAGCTAGCAGCCACCCAGAACTAAACAACACTAAAAATCACTGAAAACACCTGGCGAAATTTTGTATGAGCAAGAACCGTTAAAGTCTAGTTTCTTTTCATTACTTTGAATCACTGCAGATCTATTAAATTGTTTTTCTCTATGTCTGCTCAGACTACAGTCCAGGAGGAGAGTGCTGTGGAGTCCCAGCCTGTGCCTAACATTGACCACCTGCTGACCAACATCGGCCGGACAGGCACCTCTCCAGGGGAAGTGTCAGGTAACATGTGCCCTTGGTTGGACCCTCTCTGACATGGGTTCACCTTTTACACCCTTCTGTAAAGTATAATTATGTCTAAGAGCACACCTTGTGATGTGAGCTAAAAAATAAAATAAAATAAAAACTACAGTATAATATGTTTAAACATTTTATTTTAATATTGATAACAAAATGCTTTGCTTTTCTGAAAACAGGAGCAGCTTCTCCCAACTTAGATTTTGTTCTGTGCTGTGGCTTAAAGGGGTCATATGATGCTGCTAAAAAGAACATTGTTTTGTGTAGTTGGTGTAATGCAATGTGTTTATGCGGTTCAAGGTTCAAAAAACACATTATTTTCCACATAATGTACATTATTGTTTCTCCTCTATGCCCCGCCTTTCTGAAACGCGTTGATTTTTATAAAGCTCATCGGTCTGAAAAGCGAGGTGTGCTCTGATTGGCCAGCTATCTAGTGCGTTGTGATTGGCCGAATACCTCAAGCGTGTGACGGAAATATTACGCCCCTTACCGTACTGTGATGCCGTGTCCCGGCACGACGAAACAAAACCAGTAAAACCCATTATAAACGAGGCATTTGTTGCATCCAATGGGGACATAATTACCGATTATAATGACTTATAGTTTCTTTTTACGCGTTGCATTGCGTATCGCGCTGCGTAAACATAAAACCATGTCTGCATTTGTGATTGGAGAAACGACAAACAACAAGCGCTACTCTACACTGCTCAAAACTCACGTTTGAATCATCAGTGGCAAATTCTTTAAATATGAAAGCGTACTTACAGGCTGTGAGTCAGAAGCACCAGACTGTCCTTGCAAAGTTGGATTTGCCCCCCACAACATGGCGGCGGCAACAACAATACTACAGCGAGAATCAAAGTTGTGCCTTCTTTCTTTGTGTGAACATGTGGGCGGCGTTATGCAAATCTTCCCACATAGTGAGGTAGATATGTGGGGGCGTGTTAGAATGAGCCATTTTAGGTAGGCGTGGTTGACTCTTAACTTTTATAAAGAATATCTCTTTGGATTTGAGACTTTAGTCTTTGCAACCTTACTCATTATCTTTATGCACCAAGAGCTTGTAACACTCCAAAGAGAAAGGAAAAATTTAAATCGCATCATATGACCCCTTTAATTGCAAACGCCTGTGTGAGTTTGTGAGGCAAGATGTTAGATATTTTTGCCTACAGAAGCTTGCTTTGTGCGATATTGAATTATTTGGTTTGGACTTTTACTTTCCATGCTTTAGCAGATTTAATTTCAATTATGTACATTTCTGCAACTGTCTTTATCTCATTTCTGTTTTGCTCATTTGTCATGTTTGTGTGAATCTCACAAAACCTGTCAAAGACATGGCTGGGTCATATTTCACCCAAAAATAAAAATAAATAAAATAATTAAATTTTATTTTGCAAAAGAAAAAGATTTTTTTTTTCAATTATTTCCTCCCCACATTACTACAATGTAAAAAAGAATATTAATAAACATGTTTGGTAACACAATATGGAACATATATTCACTATTAATTAAGAGATTTCCCTCAATAAACTCCTAATTTGCTGCTTATTAAAAAGTTAGTAAGGTGGTTGTTAAGTTGGTCATGGTCATGTGCTTTATAAGTACTAATTGTGTAAGAATTGGTTCTTAAAATAAAGTGTTATCAGATGTTTTATGAGAATCAACAATAAGAAGAATGGGAGACAGTAATGAGATTATACAAAAAAAAAGTGAAACATTTGGGCACATTAGTGTATGTATGTGTGTAAGTATGACTTCAAAGATCCTTATGAATCTTATCCTTATTCTTGTTATGAAAATAATATTATAATGCAAAATAACTTAATCTTATCCTTATCCTTGTTATGAAAATAATATTATAATGCAAAATAACTTAATGGTGTCTGGAATAGGCTTCATTTACGCTATGCAGATAACAATTTCAGATTTTTCCTTTTGATTTTGGGGTGAAATACAACCATTTCCGTGAGATTCACCCATTTAGTGTGTCTCTTTCTCTGAGCGTTCAAACTCCACTGGGTCGTCTCTGTAATTCTGCCAACTGCTGCACTAACACGTCATGTTCTTTCTCTAAGAGAGAACAAACAAACAGCTAAGGCCAAACCGCAGAACACGCTTGCCAATCTCTGATCCCTCTGTCCCTAGTGCCCCTCTGTCGCGTGTCCTAAAGGCTTTCCCAGCATTCACACATACTGATCTTGACACAGGACAAGTGGGCGGAGTCTATCACACCTTGATGTCACTGATGGACTCAGTAGTGTCCGTGATGGGCAGCTGGAACTGTAGGAAGAGGGAGGACTGTTGCCCGCAGTGTAGCTGCCTAGTCTGCAGACACCCTCGCATTTTATGACGTGGACGACTGAGAAAAGAGAACAAAAAAGTGCAAAGGGAAAGCGCAGCAGAAGTGTTGGGTTCTGTGGGGTGTGGTTTGTGAGTTTACCTGGCGTAGAGCAGTGCTGCTGTCTCAAAGGCTCTTCGCCATCTCTCGCCCCTCTCTCTCTCTCTGAACGCTGACCAAACGGAGAGACAGCATGGTAATGCTACTCGGCTCTGAATATCATTGGTCATACCATTTGTCACCACCAAGGGGTGTGCAGGGGGGCTCGGCTCGACACGGAAGAAATAAGCCTCCAAAATTTGTAGTCTTTGCCATGGAAAATGAAATGAGAGCAAAGACAGCAGTGAATCGGTTCTTTTAACTTTTCCTTGCTGGCATTCTGTCTTCCCATAGTGTCATCTTTTCTGCGTAGCTAGCCCCTCTCTGACCCCTGTCAGTTCTGACCTTGGTTCATGCCTTGAGTGTCTCGTCTTCATTGTGGTCATGACAGCACACACCAGAACATCCTCAGCACTGTCATTAAGCATCCATTTCTGAATCACACACATTGTACTTGAGTTCCGAGTGGAAAGGGTTGTAGAATTAATTGTTGACATGCAAAATTTCCAATTACCATTAGAAAATTCACTTATCGGAAAATCCAGGCTCAAAACAAGTTGAGCTGTGTGAACAATATCTGTGACATGCAGAAAATAATTTCAACTTGTTTTTAAAAATCTACAGTAATGCACTTTAATGCAGTCATTAGAAGTGTTTTAAATGTATGTAAAAACTTGTATTTTAGTTGTAGCCCTTATATTAAGCCCTTATATTAAAACTGCTTTACAAAAAAAATGTTATTTGAGTTGTTAAGTTGTCTACATGGTTGTATTAGTAGTGGGGCTGCTGTTTTATACAGATTAACTTTTGGTTACTTATATAGCCACAATACTTTATTGTGTACACTATTTTGCTGATTACTTGAAATTATATTAAATTCTACTTAAAATGTAAAGAGAATTACATTTCTCTCTGGTTTCTTCTTATAATCATAGGTTCTGCATATCTGCTTCTAAAGATCCTAGCATGTCAGAATCAGATGGTTATAGATTTTCCATATAGGTCATTATAACACAGATGTCACTCAATGACATCACATCAGTCAATGACACTGCCTGCAAGACATGCATCATTTTGTGTGTACTCTGTGGTCCATGCATCCTATTAGTTGGAGATTTTCCTTCATAAAAAAGTTAAAGTCCAGCTGATCTCTTTTGCAACCACAAAATTTTATTTTGTACCTGATTCATGTTACCATATTGTTTGCTGGATGGTATTACACGTGAACGATTGCTCCCTACTGGTGAATATGTATCTGAACGTTACAGTAAAACAGCACTCACTCATTCGTTTGCATGCATGCCTGCTTTTGAACTATATTCCTCAACGTTCCTCTCTCTCATTGCTTGCCTTGCTCTCGTCGTCATGCACACCCTTTCTTCATGCATATGTTTCTCTGCTTATCACCTTCTCTCTGTATATGAGTTTGTTTGAGATCAGTAGAAGGACATGTGCAAGTCACTAACCATATATCATTTTTCTTTACTCCACAGATTCACCAACCAGTGACTCTGCTAAATCTAAGGTGAGTTTGACTTTTGGAACGAGGCCACTTCTCTGATAGGGCAGGTATAGTGGGTGAGTGTAGTTCTTGCACCAGGCTGACATGCTCCACCACTCCCAAAGCAGCATCTGGGAGCCAGTTACCATCTTGAAGCGACTGGACAGATGGATCAGAGGCCATCATGTCATGCTTTGAACATGCCCTGCATTCAGTTTAACAGGGAAATTAGATGTTGCTAGAAGGTACACTAAGCATTTCTGCCTAGGGATGGGAATCGAGAACCATTTTTTTTAGAAATTACTGCAACTGAAATATCTTCATGCTGTTCAGCTCTTTTAACAGTTCTTGAATGTTTAACGTTTAACTTGGATCTAATGTTTTAATGAATCAGCCTCTCAAACTCAAGTCTAAAACAGCACATTTAGTTTCTGAATTAATGTCTGACTGACATTCACCAAATGAAGACATCACTTTGTCAACCAAGAACCCTTACTATGTTAGGTTGGTGGACATGAAGATACATTTTGGGAATACAGTTGATCTCGTGTAGTTAGACTCTTCCTCTAACTCCCAAAGTACTAGATGAACCATTAAATGGATTAAGATTCCCATCCCTTTTTTTGTCATCTGGCTCCAGCTTTGATTTAAAATGCAACCCATGCAGCTTTTTCCATGTGGCAGTGCTGTTGGTGTTGCGGGTGCTGCTCTAATGTTTGGAGCTCTGTGACTGTCTCTAATGTTTCTTTCTATGTTCAGTCATTCAACCTCTGATTTGTGCTGCTATCAGAGAAGCAGGTGGAGTACTCTGGGTTAGCTACCTGCGAGGGCAGTGGTTGGGCTTTTTATTCCATGTTTCCTTGCTAGGCCTTTGTGCTTTATGGCTCCTTGGTTTACAAGAGTCTGTCACTCTTGCTTTCTCTTTCAATCCAGGGCTCCTGGGGATCAGGGAAGGACCACTGCAGCCGCGAGTTCCTTCAGCCACGAGTCTCCTCCATTTTTGCTGCGGCCAACCGCAAACGAAAAAAGCACAAGGAGAAGCTGCAACCCAGCAGCTCTGATGATGACCTTGATATCTTGTTCACCAAGAAAGATAACCTAACTCAAAAGCAGAACCGCCAAAGCCAGGAGGAGGTGGCAGGCAGGTCCAGCCCCTGCGGAAGACTTGTTGGAGAGAAGATAAGTGCAGAGTCAACCCCGAAGAACAAGATGGAGCACAGAAACTCTTTCTTTATGAAAGACAAACCCTCTTCCGCTCTCTCCCCCTCAACCAAGCTCTCATGTTCACCTGGTTTCAACCGTCGCACCACCAGATCCACCCTCTCAGATCCTTCCTCACAGTTAGATGAGACCACCTCAGACTTGGGCACCATGAGTTCTGGAGCCTCCGTACCCAGAACCAGACCTCGGAAATGGGGCACAACATCACCGACCCCTGAGCAATTACCTGCTTTTGGGGGGGCTTTGCTAACTGCCGAGGTGAGCTCTATTACGTCGGACTACTCGACCACTTCCTCTACCACCTTTCTGACAGGAGTGGGGTCCATCACATTAAGTCCAGAGGTGCAGTCTGTGGCAGAAAGCCGGGGAGGAGACGAGGCAGATGACGAGCGCAGTGAACTCATCAGTGAGGGACGACCGATGGAAACTGACAGTGAGAGCGACTTCCCAATGTTTAGCCCTGGTATCGCTGGACTAGACATACCATCCACAGAAAATGCCGGCAACAGCACACCCAAACTAGCTTGCCGCTTGCTGCCCTCCCATAAGCTCATAGAATGCGACTCTCTGACCAGGAGGCGATCCCTTCGACAAAAGACGGACAGCGATTCATCTGTGGAGGCAGGGGCTGGTAGCGGCAATCAAGGGGTCAGCATGAATGAATCAAATAGACTGTCTCGAGTTCTGGAGGTGATGAAGAGAGGCCGTTCCACCGGCAGCCTTAGTGCCTCATTGCGTACTGAATCGGACCGCGTTGAGCCAGCGTGGCATCTTAAAATCACAGAGAGACTCAGGTCCCGTCTACGTGCCTCTGCTGATGACATGTTCGGAGTTGGCACGCAAAAGACCCGCTCTACGGAGACACGTGGAAAGAAAAAGGGCATCCGTCGACGGCATACAATGGGTGGCCAGCAGGACTTTGCTGAACTAGATGTCATTCATGATTGGAGGGAACAGGGCGGGGTGGACCAAGGTGCAGAAATGTCTTCTGTGGAGCACCTCAAACCCAAGTGCGACTCTCAGGACGTGTCTATCCGGGACTGGATTGCTCGTGAGCGTCATCAAACTGAGGGCTCCCAGGCCAGTCTAGAGTTGAAAGGTCAAGATGGGATAGAGACAGAAATGGAAGAAGCCCAAGCAGGGAGCGCTGAGCGACTGACTCCCTCTGCTTCTCCATGTACCCAGTCCAGCTCTGAACAAGTAAATGGAGGCGCATCAAAGGGCAAATCCAGAAACAGTTTGAATTCTGGAGCTGATGCTCATCCACAAAAATTGTCAGGAGCCCAAGTGGTGCGCTCACGATTCTACCAATATCTTTAAAACAAAATAATAATTTGCATGTGTCTAAGAGTGTCCTAATGTGTGTGTAAAGGCCTGTTCAAACCAAGGTGAATGTTAGGTGTGAAAATTCTATGCATTTTCGTATTTCACAAACACAAACTGGTAATGCATCTGTTTAGACCAGGGCTGGGCAACTTCGGTACTGGAGGGCCACTGTCCTGTGGAGTTTAGCCCCAACCCTAATCAAACACACCTGCCTGTAGTTTTTCTAGTGATCTTGAAGACACTCCAAGTCCATGTCCACACATACACGGGTATTTTTTATAGTTTTTCCTTCTTCCATTTAAAAAAAAATCTCCGTCCACACGAAAACGCAAACGCATGCTATGACGCACTGTCAAGAGCATGCCTAACCAACAGGTGGCGATATAATCTCAACCGTATAGCCATGTTGGCCAATCAGAAGCTTGAAAAAAGTCTCCAGTAGGCGGAGATAACAGCGCAGGCGCCAACGTCACAAGCCAAAAACTCCTGTCTACACGATAACACTGCAACCGGAGTTTTTGAAAATCTGCACACTGGCAGGCGTTTTCAAAAATGTTTGGTTTCAGTGAACTGGTGCTGCGTTTGCGTGTGGACGAACGGCATAACCGCATAGAAAAAGCTGCGGTTTTAAAAATAACCGCGTTCGTGTGGACAGGGCCTGATTAGCTTGTTCAGGTGTGTTTGACAAGGGTTGGAGCTAAACTCTGCAGGACAGTGGTCCTCCAGGCCCGAAGTTGCCCTGCCCTGGTTTAGACTGACATGAACTTTCGCAATGCCATCCATGCGACAAATCTCTTTTCCATCACATTGTGAAGAAAACTGGCCAACCAGTAAGATTTGCGCTTTTTTTACGTCCCTATAGCCGCTGCTGTTACATAAAATAACATGGTGGCACTCTCAAACACAATTAGTTTGCTAAATAGCAATGAATAGCAGGGGTGTGGACTCGAGTCACATGACTTGAGACTTGACTCGGACTCGAGTCCCAAATTTGATGACTTGCGACTCGACATAATTAAAGAAGACTTGAGACTCGACTTAGACTTTGACAGCAATGACTCGAGACTTGACTTGGACTTGAGCCCTGTGACTCGGAAAGACTTTATGATCAGATCAAAGTCGTTATAGAAGCAGCGTCCCTGCAACGTGCTTGCGCTTGACTGGCAATAAGAGACTGCATTCAGGGAGCGCTGGATTTATAGGCTAGTATACATTAATGGAGTAATAACATAACTTACGACAAAAGATAAGAGATAAGAAAAAAAATTACATGACTCGTCTAGTGATCTCCGCTCGTGAAAAGCGCTGCCCTGTCCGTTTGATCTCCGTCCAGCAGACACACGGAGCGGGCATGAGAACGAGAGGCGTGGCCGTGATCACTGGTGCTCACCTCATCATCACCGTGACCGCTTCTGTGAAATATTCCTCACTTCTTTTGTTTGTTCGACACCGAGGTGCACCAAGAGTGACGGATACGCATCCCGGGCATCCCGCTCGATGTGCTTTAATTTTATTTTTTAAATTTGTAATAAACACCTCTCTGAGACCTGTTTTTGTCAGATCTCCACTGTTTTTGTTCGATCAGTTACATATTTTATTTGCATGTGCATTTTATTGTATTTAAACCTCCATTAAGTTTAAAGTTATGGTGCAACAGGATTAAAGTTAATCTTAAATATATCTTAAATCCAGGATCAAAATGATGGGTTAAAATGTAAACCTGGGTATTTTGAAAGGTTTGAAGTTTGGTGCAACATAATTATTCGATAAACCTTGATTTAATCTAGATTTAAAATTAATCATTGCAAAGCATTTAGCTATAATTTGAAGAATAAAAAAATGCACATTAGGCCTAATGTCTGAATTGGGCAAGTTATTTCTTCTAGTTCTTTCAAAGCAGTTCTTTCTGCGTTTCCGCTCATATATTTTTAAATCTGTTTCATTGAGGTTCCAAATAATGGCTCATTGGCTTCGATATAACACCTAGAAGCATATATTCTTATGCACACATGCAAAGTATGTTGCAGCTGTTATTTCTATGAAATTATGTTGTCTTTGCTATTCTGTTACTAATAACATAGTTTTTTTTTTCACTGCTTATCCTATTTTGGCACAATCCCTAAATTGAACTTGAGTAGTTTTACTAAAGGCACCCATCTCACATGAAATTTAACTATGCCAAACATATTCTACCTGCCTTCCTGATATAAATTACTATGAATTTGATATGGTAATTAATACTGAGACACTAATTTAGGCAAAGAGCACTAATGACTTGTTTAAGACTTGAAGCTAAAAGTTGAGGACTTGCAACTCGACTTGGACTTGCCGGTCTTGACTCGGGACTTGACTCGAGAATTGAATGCAAAGACTCGAGACTTACTTGTGACTTACAAAACAATGACTTGGTCCCACCTCTGGTGGATAGCATAAGAATCTGCAACCAGCTCTATTGTCTCTGGACTCGATTTTGTTAAATAAGCACCATAGCAAATGCAAAAATCCGAATGGCTGTTCGAAAACTTGTAAATACCATTTTATTTTCTTTCTCTGTGGCAGAAAATTTGCACAGCACTTTGTGTATCGTGGTCATCAGGGTTAGCGGGGTATTTCTGGTTCTCTATAAGCACCTGTCTGCAACCTGTCTGCAGTTTGTATGTTTAGGTCTGAAAAGACAAATTGTATGTGAAAATCAGGATGAATTTTTGTGCCAAACATGCATGTTGGTGTGAACAGGTCTTAAATTGAATGAATGTCCTTAGAGCTAAGGTTACTCCACTTTTATTTTCCATCCCCATGTCCTTTTTTTAAACAAAGTATATATAAATATGAATATATATTATAAATATAAATTGTATATATCTATATGTATAGGCTTATAAAAAAGTAACTGGAGTAATTTTAACAATTTTGAGTTATCTGACTCATTGTTTTTGGATTAGTACTGGAGCTGTTTTCTTGAAAGCTAGTAATATATGCATGACGGTGAAGTGGCCTGATATTCAGAGGCTGTACGATACCAATGTTTACCGACTGCCTCGACAGCACAATTTTTCTGACTTTGACAGACATGCATTTGCAAAACTGTTACTGAAGGATACTAATATCAAAGGAAAAGAAAAAGCATCGCGTCCAAGGTTAGGACAAAAAAAAGAAAGAAAACTCCTGATGTTACTCATATGAAGAATGTAATATGCTTGCTGTTATATTGACTAACACGTAAATTGCTTGTTGCAGTTTTCATTAGTGAAAAATGTAAATAATGTCTGTACTTGAAGTATTTGTTTGTTTATATTATTATTATTTTGAAGGTTAGCCTTGATATGGGCTGTTTTCTGGGCTGTGCGCTGTGGAAATCCCTTTTACAGTGCTTCATAACAGCCAGACATAAATGTGGAAGAAGAAAGAAATCTTTTTTTATATTTCTACATTGTGAAAGTAAGTGCTAAAGTGAAAGCGCCAGAGCCTGAACATCTGTAGCAGTACCAGGCTTACTGGTATTGGCATGTTGAACCATTTTAATGCAAAGTACAACAGTAAATAAGTCATAAAATTACAAGGAATTATGTTTCCTTCCAAAAAAGTGCCTCAACTGGTTCTGGTGACAGGAAAGGTGCCATTTGTTAATTTTGTTGTTTGTTAATATGGAATATGTATTGTGAATGAATGACTGAATTTTATCAGAATAAAGAAAAAAGAAAAAAAATTAAAAAATATTTTTTTTATACAAACCGATGCAAAAGCAGACCCAGAGCTTCCACTGCTTCATCAGTCAATAGTCTTAAGTCATCTCGTGCTTTGCCACTGGATTCGTCTTTACCCTGGTCTTTTATTGAGGCAATATCTTAAATGTGTTTTTTTTTTTTTTTTTGTATGTTACCTTTGTCAAAAAGTCACATATTTTGTCCGAGCTGACCAGTGTAGTAGCCAGCATGTGATTCCTCGGGAGAGTATGCATGTCTTCATACTTATGTGTGCGGATTTCATCTTACCTCTGAATGCTCATATGTGTGACTCCCAACTGCAAAGAAAATGAAAAAAAAAAAAAAACACTGGAAATAAATGATCTTTGTCAGCTTCTTCTCATTGTCATTGGTAATCTATGTAATGTAGACTCTAGGTCTAACAGTCATTCAGTTATTTTTTCCCCCAACGGTATCGGTTTCAGTTTCAACTTTTTAATTTTAGTTTTGCAAAGACATTTAGAAGTAGGCAAAATTAATCTAATTTCAGCTTTTAGCCTTTAGATCAAAAGATCTGTGCCATTATAAGATCATTTAGATCAAGAGAAAAAAATTTAGACCAGCAAGTCCAAAGTTTTGATTGGTAGGTTAAATGCTTGTTTAATTTTTTAATTAAATATAAATGTTCAATGTTGTTCGCTTTCTGAACAGAAGAGGGCATTGTGAAATCATAAGTGCCTCAATACAAGGAATTTATTTCTGTATCCGAGCAGAATGGCCTAGGTAGGGCAGTACAAATGGTTGTTGTTGTTGTTATTATTATTTGGTGTTGTTGTTGTTTGGGTCATCCAATTTAAGTGGAGATCTGCACCTTCCACTTAAGTGGAGAAACACCTTGCAGGGTGATTATTGTATAACATTGTGTAAACCCTAGTTACTAGTAAATGTTTATGTGTTGCCTGATGTTGAAGGGTAGACACTTGAATCTGATGAACTTCCTGGACCTGATGGTGCTGGTTAAAGGAAGTACTGTAATGCCATAGTACAACTTTATTTCCTTATCGACATTCAGGCACTTCTAACACGTAATAAAATAGTTTGAGTGCATTTTTTTTCAGCTGCCTGGGCAACAGAAGTATTTTTCAATTTCTGCATATGCATTTCAAAACAATATTTAATAAAGAGCACTAAACCTTGAACCAAACAAACTAGATCTGAAATGAATTTGAAACAAACCAAAACATCTGATGTACAAGACTGCATTTAAGGGGAATTATGAACAGTCTTGCGCCATAAAATATTGACAGTTACACAACTGAATCTTTTTTGTTTGTTTGTTTTAGTTTTATTAGGAAAAAGATAGGTAACACCTTATTTTAAGAACCAATTCTCACTATTAAATAGCATGCATATGGCTGTTTATTAGTACTTATAAAGCACATAATAATGTCTTATTCTGCATGACCATATTTTTGATCCCTTAATCCACCCCATACCTAAATTTAACTACCTAATTAACTATTAATAGGCAGCAAATTTGAGGCAAAAGTAATAGTTTGTTAATAGTTAGAATTAGACCCTTAAAATAAAGTGTCCATTAGGTATATGTTTTGCTATTTTCACTTGTAAGTCACTACTGTAA